CTTAATCTTTGAGACACTAGGGCTCCTTATTTGCTGTTGTGCTGTTGAGCTATGATTCACAGCAATCCAGTGAACAACAGGTCAGGACCTTGCTCTGTCCTGTACAATGGAGCCTCACAAGCTCAAACCATTGTTACAGTTACCATGTCAATAACTCACCTCATTGAGGGTCTTCTATTCCTTGAACTCTACTTTTCTCACCATGATTTCTTTTCCAAAGGGCCTTTTGACTATCTGCCCAGAGTATATGAGTCAACGATTTACCATTGTTGCTGCTGAAGAGCAGCCTGGTTGCGTTCCCTCCAGGACAGACTTGCTTGCTCACCATGGCACAATCCCTGGATATGCAATGTTCTTCACTACAGGGCTCCTTCTCTGATGCTCATTGTTTTAAAAAATAAAGAAATAAAAATTAAAACCAAACCTGTTTGAGTCCAGTCAAATAGAATCCAATGGCCCTATTTAACGGAGCAGAACTAACCCCCTAAGGCTGTAAATGTTTAAGAAAGCTTCTTGTTTTTGTTATGTGCCATCAAGTCAACTATGACTCATAAGGACCCTGTGGATAACAGCTGTGAATCCTCCCCTCTCCTGAGCCAGTCTCACCATCTCCAACATACCTGACCCCATAGCTACAGTCGTGTCACTCCACCTCACCCCAAATCCTCCCCTCCTGGCTGACCTTCCACGCTTCCAAGCATGATGTCCTTCTCCAAGGCCTGGCCCCTCCTGAAAGCATGTCCCAAATAAGTTAGACAGAATTTAAAAATCCTTACCTTCAAGGAGCAACCTGGTTTCACCCTCTCCAAGACAGACTTGTTTTCTTGGCAGTCCATGGTATGTTCAGTACTCTTCTCCAGCATCACAATGCAAAGGAATTGATTCTTTCTCAGTCATCCAGATCTCTAATGCATAGAAAGCAATTGAGAAGACCATGTCTTGGATAAGGCACATCTTCATCACTGGACTGACATCTGCACTTTTGCACTCTGGAGAGGTCCTTGGACAGACTTCCCACATGCAACTCTTCTTTTAATTTCCTGCCTGCTGGAGCCAAGGGTAAATGTCGATTGTGGATCCGAGAAAGAGGAAATCATTAACATCTTCAATCTTTTCTCCATCTATCGTGATGTTGCTGTTGACCCAGTGGGGAGAATTTGAGTTTTCCTGGAGTTGAGATACAATCATCTTGAAGGCTGTATTACTTGATCTTCTGCCACAGTGTCTCAAGTCCTCCTCAGTTTCAGCAAGCGAAGTTCTATTATCTGCATAACGCAGGTTGTTTCTGAGTCTTAGCGTCAACAAAACCCAAACCAAACCCACTGTTACTGATTCGAATTAAAACTGACTCTACCAAAATAATGCACTATATTCCCTCTAAGTATGATGACCACCTGTAGGAAATAACCTATTAGCTCGGTGAAGGAGAATCCTGGCTGCTTTGCATTTACCGCTAGATGGCGCCAGCTCCCCAGGTAGTGGAGCGGGCACTGCCTGACTCGGTCGCGCTGGTCCCTGAACCTCCTCCTCTAAGGCCTCGCTGTTTATGATCCCAGTTGCTGTGGTCATGCTCGAGTGGCATGATACCTGGACTCCTGGCAATACTTTGCTTCAATATGTCCCTTTGCATGATGCCAGGTAGCCAAGGGGCTCTGACCTGAGCCTTCACCAGTGTTGCCTCCCACCCTTCAGTCCCCCTCCACTGGAGGCAGGAGGCTGACCAAGCTGAGAACTGCTCATCTCATTGGCTCAGACAAGGTACAGTGGGTACCACTGGTCCCAGTGCATCCTCGGGTGACCTTGCCACCCAGAGCAGGCAGGTACCCGCCCAGTGGCTGCTGGCGGCTCCTGTCCTGCTGGCCTGACAGGCCACTCATGCCCCATCTTCCACTTTGGAATGAAGCCAGTGCTGCCTTTATAATCATGGAACTAGACCCTCCTCTAAAAACGGAGGGACAGAGACTCTTTCTTATGTTTAGACCCAGGAATATTTTCCTAGCTGCATCTGCTCCTACTTTGGAGTGGGCAGCTTGAGGCCTGGGCCTGCTTCTTGCCCCCCCCCCCCTTTCCCTACCCCTGCCAAGTAGGCATCTGCCTCAGCCAGGGTCCATCAGGGCACTTCCCGGTGACTCAGTCCCTCTCTCCATTCTTGGGGAGGCTTGTTTATTCATTCAACAAACATTTATTGAGCAGTAAGGTTGTGTGTACCAGGACCCGTCCAAGGCACCTGGCAGACAGACAGCAATGAACTGGACAGACGCATTCCCTGGCGTCTTGAAGCAGGCCGTGTGGTGTGGATGAGACGGTAAACTTCCTATTACCAAATAATTGTTTAATTGCTCGCTCACGTTCCTAACGCTGCAGTTTCAGTACCTTTCGATGACGCGGAATCTCAGAGCAGAAGTGTGGAATATGGAAATGATCCTAATGCAACCCACCACCTCCACTACCGTCTCCTAATGTCAGGATTCCAGGCTCCCAACACAGTGCTCGAACGCTTGACTCAGGAGCCCTAGTGATGGTGGAGGTGAGAAGAGAGAGAGGAGGGAGGTTTCTCTCATCTCTTGCCCTGTATCTGTTGATGAATGAATTTATCTGCTTTTGGCAAGGGACTGCACTGACGCTGGTCTTTCTCTGTGGGGAGACGGGGCTCTTAAGCTGGCCTTCCTTGCCTCGCAGCTCCCATCCCGCCTCGCAGCTCCCATCCTGGGAGGGGGAGCAGGCCCGCCCAGTGCCCTTCCTGCCCCCTCTGCCTCGGGCTCTGTTGGCAGCAGAACAGAGGGCACTCAGAGCGGGTGGCAACTCGCCCCGCCACGGGCTCGGAGCGGCGGGGCGATAGGCGCTGGGGGGACGCGGAGATAGACAGACAGATAGCGCTCTCCTGGCCTGATCCCCGCCCCCACTTTTCCCACGCTGTGGTCGCTCAGACCCTGCGCCCCACAGACTCTATCTCTGCCCTGTTGCAGTTCCAGGGTCTCTGAATCCCAAGAAGTTCACCGCAGGGACGCAGGGGAGTCTACATTTGGAAAAAAAGTACAGAACTTTCTAAAAATTTCTCTCTGGTAGACGAGGTCCAAGAGACCCCTCTGCAGACTTGGCCAGACGCTGGGTTTGGGGAAGCTGCTGAGCAGCAGAAAGGCCGCCAGGGGGCGCGCGGGCATTGCGTTCCTTCCGCCTCGGCCCGGCCAGGCTGGGAAACAGGAGTGGGACAGGCCTGTAGGTATCCCTTACGGCAGAAAGGTCTGGGGCTAGAAACTGAGTTTTGGAGGCTCTCCTCCACCCCTAAAGATGGCCAGAGAGTGGAATTGGGGATGGAATGGAGAAAGGGGCTAGATGTTAAGAACCTCTAGGGCCTAATGGTGCCTGAGAGACGACAGGGAGCTAGGGGTGCCCAGAGCAGAAGGGAGCAGAGAAATTATACTACTATAACCCACCACCTACCTCCACTACCCTCTAAATGTCAGGATTCCAGACTCCCACGGGAGCCTCTTCTTCCTCGTTGAGGATCCCATGTTCTAGGCGTTGAGACAATGTGGGACGTTTCATATACATCTGCATGCAGCTCTCAAGTCACACAATAATTCAAACCTTTTTTCACGTCTTCCACTCACACTGTCTTACACACCTACCTGCAGAGCTACACACACATACACACATACACACACACACACACACACACACACACACACACACCTCGGCATATGGTGAGCTCACACACCTTGATGATGCCCACTCTGTACACCTGATCCCTAAAAATGCCCGTACTCGTTCAATATAGCCTCCAAAGCTATAAAACCTGTCCCATAAACCTACTGAAGCATACATGAAGCCAGCCTGTGGCCCCTCTCAGCTGTCTGGGACCCTCCTGCCCTGCTCACCCCAGCAAGCCTGGGCAAGGGGTGAGGCTGACACACATTCTTTTCAAAGAGAGTTCTGGTATCCCCACAGCCACTGTGTATCCCCATCCTGCCGATGAACCCCTAAACCCACACACCCAGCTGGAGACCCCCTTCAACACATTTTCTCAAGGCCAAATTTTCCGACTTTTGGGCCCTTAGCACTTCTACCTTTATTCATAAAATACTTTTCAAAGGAGATTTTATGCCTGGATTGGCATAAAGGCAATACTTCATACTATATAGCTAAACTTTTACTTCAAAGTTCTTCCTCCCCCACCTTTTCTACCTTTAAAAGAAATCATACTTTTTCCTGGTCCCCTAAGGGCCTTGCACGTTGGGTGATGTGTCTATGGGGGCTGGTGGATGAGGCAACTAAGGACCCTCCCCTCCCCACTCCGGACTAGCTTGTCTGCCTGTCATCTGCACATTCACATACCACCCCCCAGGACCACCTCCCTCCACAAACACCCAATGGGCAAATTCTCCTCCTTCCCCATGCCACCTGAGCCCACCCCCCAGTCCCAGCCAGGGAGCCAGACTGACAGGCCCCTGGGGCTTTACAGAGACATCATCCCCAACTCCTTTCTTCAGAGACTCCCCTTTATCTAGACTGGGGAAGAGCGACTGGAGGAGGGGCAGCAGCGAGGGGGGTGTGTGTGTGTGTGTGCGAGTGTATGTGTGTGTGTTTTGGGTAACAACAAAGAGTGGGAGAGAGAGGAGAGCGAGCGAGCACAAGAGCGTGTTTTGCCTCGAAGGCAAGACTTGCAGCCAATCAGCGCGCTGGAGCCTCCCTCGCCGACTCCTCTATTGAGTCTATAACCGGCTGGCCGGGCGGAGCTGGCAGCATTTGACTGTGGCTTGGGACGCGAGCAGAGGCGCACAGCGACCCGCCCGGACGGCCCGTGATGATCTGAGAGCCCCTCGGCTTCCCCCTCCCCCGAGACACGGCCAGGCCCTCCCCTCGGCGGCCTGCAGACGCCCACCTCCACCGGTCTCCCCCTCGGGACACCCACCTCTCTCCGTGGGGCTCCGTCGCCTCCCCTGCGCTCGCTCCCGGCTCAGCGCGGAGGCCAGCCCCCGCGAGACGAGGCGGCCGCCAGGATGAGTGGCTCCTTCGACCGCAAGCTCAGCAGCATCCTCACCGACCTCTCCAGCTCGCTCAGCTGCCATGCGGGCTCCAAAGACTCGCCCACCCTGCCCGAGTCCTCCGTAACCGACCTGGGGTACTACAGCGCGCCCCAGCACGACTACTACTCCGGCCAGCCCTACGGCCAGACGGTGAACCCCTACACCTATCACCACCAGTTCAATCTCAACGGGCTCGCGGGCACTGGCGCTTACTCGCCCAAGTCGGAATATACGTACGGGGCTTCCTACCGGCAGTACGGAGCTTACCGCGAGCAGCCCCTGCCCGCCCAGGACCCAGGTGAGGACGCTGGTGCGGAGGGTGGGAACATCGCAGGACGGTTTGCGCAGAGGGGAAGACAGGAAACTGCGGCCCACGTCTAGTGGCTGGGGGACTTGAGGCTAGGAAATTTACTACCTCCACTTACCGAAGGTGGGCTCGATGACCCCAGAGGGTCGCCTTCCAGCCCCGAGAACGCGCGTGCAGGACGAGGTGTGCGTGGGCATCTGGGGTCCCACATATAGAACAGGGCTGAGCGCACCGAGGTTGGAGGTCTTCAGGAAATCTTTTCATTGAGTTGATTTCAGGGACTGTTCGATCAGGGCTGCTCCCTCTGGTCTCACGGGGACTTGGAAAAGAGTGGGGACTGGAGGCTTTGGAGCCTGGGATGAAAAGAAGGAGGGGGCTGTGCGGGGGTCATGGAGAGAGGCCTGATGGGGCTCCCGAGAAGTGAGAAGCTGAACAAGAGAAAAGGAGAGAGAGAAAGAGAGAGACAGGGACTGAAACAGAGAAAGAATGGAAGGGAAACGGAGGAAGAAGAGGAAAGAGAGGGGGAGAAATAAGGAGAAAGTACACCAGCCTCCAACCTTTTTGTGAATTTGAGTTTATTCTAAACTAAAGGCATAAGAACTTCTTGGCCTTTTGGCTAAGATCAAGTGTAAACTGAAAGATAGGAGAAAAGATGGAGACAGGACAGTTGGCGTGGTGGGGGGAGGAGGGTCAGCCAGAGGCAGACGGAGAGGAAACGCGCGGCCGGAGGCGAACCAGAGGCGTCGTGGGCGAAGCGACTGCGGCCCGCGTCGGGCGGTTGCTGGCGCCGGGTACTGCGCTGGGGCCCAGGCGCCGAGCGGAGGAGCGCCGCGCGCGTCGTGGGCGGCCGCCGGCCCGGCGGTGCTGTTGCTGCGGCTTCTCCTGGGGCGCTGGTGGGCGATGGCACATCCAGAAAACCCCAGGAAGGGTTAGGGACCGGGGCTGGGGCGCCCTCAGGAGCCAGGAGGGCCGAAGGTCGGGTCGCAGGCCGGCAGAGGCTGACCTGCTCCCCACTTGATGCGTTGCCCACAGTATCAGTGAAGGAGGAGCCGGAAGCCGAGGTGCGCATGGTGAATGGGAAGCCCAAGAAAGTCCGAAAGCCCCGCACCATCTACTCTAGCTACCAGCTGGCCGCCCTGCAGAGACGCTTCCAGAAGGCCCAGTACCTGGCGCTGCCCGAGCGCGCTGAGCTGGCCGCGCAGTTGGGCCTCACGCAGACACAGGTGGGTGCTGGGCAGCCCAGGGTCCAGGGGTCCGGGTGGGGGTACACGGGACTCCAGGGCTCCCTAGCGACACCAAACCTGGTTGTTCTCCTGGTCCCTGCAGGAGTGTGGAGTGGGGCAAGGGTCTTATGTCTCAGCTTCTGGGGGACGTTTCTGTTGGCGTTGTGTACAGGTGTGCATATTTCCGAGCCTGAGCAACTGCATGTCTCCTTGTTTTACCTACAGAACCCGCAGCTCCCACAGCCACCTAGCAGTCCTTGATATAAGTCCCCATCATGTTCTCCCAGGCTAAGGGGAGGGGGGGTGTTATGCGCATATACACGTGTGTTTGCACACACACTCATGGGCTTGTGTACACTTGGGAATGTTCATATAGGGAGTGAACCCTTGAGGGTCAGTGTGTGCACTTGTGTTTCGGGTAGAAGGGCACGTGTGAACACGAGTGAGTGTCTACTGGAACATTTCTGTTTGTAGCAAAGTACCCAACTCCAGTGGTTCAGCCCCCAGATGTTCCATCTCTCCCTCTGCTCAGATAGACCCAAGAGGAAAGGTTCATGGCCAAGGGAGATGGAGACTTAGAGGTGGGACTCTCCCCATCCTCAGTCTGTCCCCAAGGTCCCTGGCAGCCTGTCACTGCTCAAAGGAGGAGTGGTGGATGCCTGGCTCCCTACAGGTGTTGACAGGCGCGCCTGGTTGCGGCTGCGTGGGGCCCAGGCTGCCCGGGGAATCTGGGTCACCCAGCGAGGAGCTGATTCATTGTTTGTACCAGTCATGGGGTGGGGAGCAGCAGGCGGAGGGGGAGATACCCCAAGGGATATTTGGAGAATCCTGGCTCACCTTCTTCTGGGTCCCAGGTCACCTCCATTCACTAACCTTATCCAGGAGGAGGGCTTCTCTGTGCCCCAAAACTTTACTGCGGGTGTTCATGTTTATGGGTGGGTGTTTGTTTGAGTGTGTCTGGGCCTATGTGTAGCTTTACAGTCTAGTGGCTGTGCACGTAGTTGTGAGAGGGTTTGTGCTTGTGCATGGAGATGTGTATGTGGGTGTGTGTTTATGTCTCTGTGCAGCTCTGCTTATGTGTATCTGGTGTGAACAAAACACACCAACTGCCTGTCCCAAACTGAGCTGCCTTTTAGTGAGTACTTACTATGGGCCAGGAGAGTCTAAGTTCTTGATGTGTGTTAAGTACTTTAGCTGTGCACTGACCTGTGAGGGAGGTCATAGGACTGTCATAATCTCTGCTTTGTGGGCAGAGCCAAGAGCCAAAGAGTAACTTGTCCATGGTTGTACATTTAATAAATGGCAGAGCAGAATTTGGATGGGGGAATGTGCCTCATCATAGCTCTATCCCAGATCAGAAAGAGATGCCGGCCCCAGAGTTAGGACCCTGGATCTGCCATCTGTTGAGGTGCCCTTCACTGCAGGGTTTCCCCCTCCACATTCTCAGACACTCACCAGCTACCTTGTTTTTCTCCGGCCCAGGTGAAAATCTGGTTCCAGAACCGCCGCTCCAAGTTCAAGAAGCTCTACAAGAATGGGGAGGTGCCCCTGGAGCACAGCCCCAACAACAGCGATTCCATGGCCTGTAACTCGCCACCATCACCTGCCCTCTGGGACACCTCCTCTCACTCTACTCCGGCCCCTGCTCGAAGCCAGCTGCCCCCGCCGCTCCCGTACAGCGCCTCCCCCAGCTACCTGGATGACCCCACCAACTCCTGGTACCATGCGCAGAACCTGAGCGGACCCCACTTACAGCAGCAGCCGCCTCAGCAGGCCACCCTGCACCATGCCTCCCCGGGGCCACCGCCCAACCCTGGGGCTGTGTACTGAACACCCCACCTGGCCTGAACTCCCCACGAAGGACCCCGGGACCAGGCAGAAGGTGCCTCCATCCTAGATGACACTCAGGAATCATCGAGGGGCCCAGGGAAAGGGTGCCTCCTTTCCCCATCCCTTGTCCCTTCCTCCAGGGATCCAAGTGCTACCAGATGACATTTACATGGACTGAGGATGTCCCCTGGACCACCTCCCCCCTGCCCAGATACTAAAGGGTCCCTCCAGTTGTTGGGGCACCCATTCCGGCTGGGACAGCTGTCCCGCTTCCACTCAAGGAGCCCAGAGTGGCTTTAAAGACGGCTCATCACTTTTCACATTTTGAAACTCAGTACCTGTGTCCGGACTGGAGAACTGGAGGACAGGCGGGGGAAGACTGTGGAGCATTCACATGTCACGAGTGGGCTGGGGCACCAGGCACCGTGGGATCCTCCCAGGCCATCTGTGACCGTCCCCTTCCCGAGAGCCCTCTGCCAAAAAGAAAAGAAACCTAACTCTAACTGGGACTCAGGGAGAGGGGCCTGGACCAGCCCCCATACTTCTCTCATTTAAGAACTGAGGGCTAAACCAAAGAAAATTCCCCTCATGAGGGAAATGTTTAATATTTGTGGCTTTAGAGGGAAGAACTAAAAGAGCCTTCTCTCCCCTCCATTCTGGGGAGATGAGGGGAGAGGCTCCCATGTCTTGCCTAAGGACCTATTTCTTCCATGTACAAGACTTTGCACGACTTTGGTTTTAAAAGCTGTTGAAAAATAGGAAAACGAAGGGCATTGTTAACAGATAGGACCCAACCCCTCTCAGGCGGGCGCTTCTGCTCGGCCCCAACCCCCACCCCACCTCTTCTTCTCCTCCAGTAAGTTGGCAGTTTGGGTGCCAAACCCCAAATCTCCTAGGAGACATACTAGGCAAGACAACCCCCTTCAACACCCCCTTTCTGGTGGCCTTGGAAGCAGATTGAGTAGAAGAATGCCGAGCGAGGTGCGGAAGATCATAACTTGGTGCCTTTATGGGTGAGAGGGTGGCTGTCAGGGGGGGGGGACTGCCCCTCCCTCGCCCAGCTGTCCCCCCAGAGCTAACCCTCCTCTGCCCCTGATGTGGTGAAATATGGACGTGAAGGCGAGATGGACGACTGGAGCTATATATATAGTATGTATTTTTTTAAAAAAGCAACAGAGAGAAGTAGTCTCCTCCCTACTGTGGTTTCCTATTTATGTGACCCTTTCCTCCTGGACGGAGCTGCGTTGTAAGTTAGAGAGAGAAAGGGGGATGTGGACTCCAGCTGGACTGAGGGTTGGTGGGATGTGTGGAGTGGGACAGAGGCAGCGAGCCTCGGAGTCCTACTCCAGGGGAACAGGAATGAAGCCAACTCCCACCCTCTCCCAGCCTCCCATTTCTGCTTTCTTACTGGATCCATCTTTATATATAATGTTAATAAAAAAGAAGAAAAGACCCACTAAGCTCTTTGAATTTGAGACTGATGGTAGGCAGCTGGAGGTGTAAAGCCTGGGAGTTGGGGAAGATATTTGGGGGTGAGGGAGCTCTGAGTCTTTAAGGGCTCTTGGAAGAGCTGGGGCCCTGGCCATCCATCTGCTGGGGCTCTGAGCTTCTGGATAGGGCTGAAACTGACCCCAGGTGGCGGGTCCTCCTGACCCCTGTGACTGACCCTAACCTGGGCAGGTCAGGGTGGGTGTGAGGCTCCTGGCTGTGGCCTCCCTGACTCCACTCTGCTTGGTGGCTTGGCGTTCCCTGCCAGCCAGCTGCCCTCCGCCACCACTGCTGGGTCACCTCAGGGCTGTTCTTTGATCTTGCGCTCACACGCAGACATGCTTGCACACGCGTGTAAACCCCCTGTCTCCACGCCCAGGCACTCCCTGGCCCCTCACCCTGCTGTCTATCCCTTTCAGCTTGGGATGAGGGTGAGGCTGAGGCAGGGGGAACACCACTGCTCCCAGAGCTGGCAGGGACCCCGGCTATTGGGAACCAGGCTGAGGGTGGAAGTAAACAGATGAGGTGGGTTCTGGGTTTTCTGCCTTGGAGAGGGCTCTGGGCACTGAGCCAGCCCTCTTGCTGCCACTGACCACCTGGGCCAGCTTGGCCTCTTCTCCCATTCTGTGCTGCCCAGTGCTAAGGTTTGGGAAGTGGAGAGCTGGAGGTGGAATGAACAGATGGACAGACAGAGGTATGTGTGAGCAAAATAACCCAGGTGCAGATGGGAGACAGTAAATGGAACTTTTTCCCTCATATCTACACACACACACACACACACACACGTGCACCAAGAGTTATGCCAACATCTTAGCATCTCACATACATGAACTCTCACTTTGAGGCAAATGTGTCATTGCAGATATAGATGAACATACGCACAGACCCCTGAGACACACATCAGCGTCACACACACATTAATACAAAAAATAGAGCCCCCAGAAGACAGACTGGTGTACAGTGTCGTGCTGCTCAAGTCACCCCAGCATCACACAGAAACACACACACACACACACACACACACACACACACACACGCGCGCGCGCGCAAAGAGCCAGGCAGAGGCAGCTCCTTCTTATGGAAACACTCTGGGAAATAGAACACCAGCAACGCCACCCAGCAGCCCAGGTGACCCAGCTCAGCCTGGAACCTCCCCATCAGGCCCTCTGTTTCCTCATCTGTCAAATGGGGATAACAATCCCCACCCTGTTGACCTCTGAGATGGCTGTGCTTCACAAAGGCAAGTAAGGAGGCGAACGCAGAAGGAACAAGCTCACATAAGGGACTTGTTAGACAGTCACAGCCAGACGGGTGTGGGGTTCCCTGGGCAAGGATCCAGAGCTGTGGGACCCCCCCACTCCAGCCCCTACTCCACGCCTTTCCCCCTCTGAAGGCAGACCTTCTTTTCCCCCAACGCCTGAGGGAGGCGGAAGGGAGGAGGGCCTTCAGCCCACGGACGCCAGCCAGGCTGGCAAGGGTTAAGGTGGCAGCTGCCAGGCGGGGCTGAGCTGAGCAGTTTGGTTTGAGGGCTGCGTGCAGGCAGGAGCAGCGAGGCGGCAGCCGGGCAGACTTGCTGGAGACACTGCATTTTATTAGGGCTGGGCTGCCAGCAAAGGGAGGGAGAGGGAAAAAAAGGGCAGAAAGAGAGAGGAAGGAAGGAGGGAGGCTGGGCGGGCGGGCGGCTACAGGATGAAAGGATGTTGTAAGCTTTCTAATTCCTCCCTGCTCATCCCTGCTCTGTCAGGCTGGATTAACTGCCCGGGTGACCTCCCTCGGGGGTCAGCCCCACCCCTGACCTCCCCTTCCTCCTCTCTTGCCCCCAGGCCAGGCAAGCTGTCCTATAAGACCTGCTCCAGGTACTCCCAGGGGCTAGGGCGTGACAGTGAGCCATGCTGGGGGCAACTAAGCCCATCTTCTGCCAGGATTTTGTCAGCTACACCCACTACACCTTTATGGCAGAAGCAAGGGGATGCCCCGGGCACTCCAGTCCACCCTGAGTGTCCCTATTCCCCAAACTATAGTAATAGCTGGGACTTGCTAAATTTCAATTCTGTGCAAAGCACTGGGTGTGAGATCCTTGCCTGGGAGGTAGATAGATGGTGCCCATTTTTCCAGATGGGAAAACTGAAGCTTAGAGGGTTCAGATCTCTGTCAAGTTCATGTGGCAGTGGCAGGATTGGAACCCAAGCTTGTCTGGAGCATGGATGCTTTTAAATGCCTGGGATTTTCTGCACCTTAGTTTTCTGAAAGGCCCCCAGGGCAGAGGGGCAGAGTGCTGCAGCCCTGCCCTCCCCTGCAGCATGCTGTCCTCCCTGAAGGGGGTGGGGTGGCCCGACTCCCAGGGCTAGTCCTAAGAAAAGGCTGTGGTCAGGAATGTGCATGCTGAAGTCAGCCCATCTGGAATTGAAGCCCATCGCCACCACTTTACAGGCTGTGGGACCTTGGGCAAGTCACTTACCTGCTCTAAGCCTCAGTTTCCTCATCTGTAATGTAAGGATAATGCTACCTACCTAGCAAGGTTGTTGAGAGGATTAAATGGGATCATGTGAGTAAAATGCTTAGTGAGGAACCCAGTGCTGCTCAGGTAATGGAAGTGGTGATGGGGATGATGGGGCTTCCTCCTAACCCTGCCTCCCGCCTCATCCAACCTGCTTTGCCCCCCATTCGGCTCCACAGTGCATTTGCCATATTGGCCAACCATCTTATCTCAAAGCACTCAGAAGAGGGGTAGGGTAGTCCAACCAGTATTTATTGAGCAACTGTTTCACATCAGGCATGTTCTTCCTGCTGGTCCAACAGGGGGATCGATCCAAGGAGCAAGGAACAGCATCTATGCTGAGAACTTTGGGGCCAGTAACAGGGTCCACAATAGAGAGGCCCAGAACTGGGTGAACCAGGAGCAAGTCAAGTCTGCCAAAGAGAAGGTCAGGGCACTTGAAGTGGTGGGTGGGAAGAAACCTGGGAAGGCTTCATGGGAGAGGTGGCCTTTGAATGATGCCTTGAAAGAAGGGTGGGGCATGACAGGCAGAGATGGGGCTCTGGGGAACATACTCCCAGGGTATCTCTCCCACATACAGGACACCTGTGGGTGGGATACTCAGGAACTACACAGGGTGGGAGAACTTGAAAGCAGGAACCACATGGATCTTGTGGTCAGTGCTAAAGTAGGGGCTATCCCTAAGTCCTTCTCCCACTTTAGGCTCAGTGGAAGATCAGCCTCTGGCCATCTCTGGCATGATAGGAGCAGCTCTTCACTCTTGTTTTGTGAGGAAACAGCCCTAGCCCTTCTTACGGGGCATGAGAAGGATGGTACCTAACCCTGCTCCTGAGGGTCCCTTGCTGGTATGGCTCCAGCTCAGTACGAGTGACCCTCTGTCATCCAGACTTCATGTCCCAGATCCCTTCTGAATGCAACATCACTGAAACCTGCCCCCAATTCCGCAGAGCCACTGTCCAGAGATGCTCATAGGAAGTGGGGTCCTAGGCAGCTGGACTGAGGAAAGGCAATGCCC